CCGATGGCGAGTGCGTCTGTTAGCGAGCATGCCTCGGCCGACTCGCTCTCGTTCAGCACCCGCGACACGCTGCGTGCCAAGGAATCCTCCCGCTTTTCGCGGGCGTTGGCGGCCCCGCCGGCCGCTGCAGCAGCAGCACTGCTGCCCTCGCTGGCGGCGGCGTCGTGGACGGTCGCGCTCTCCTGGATCGTGCCAGAGATGGCGGCCTTGGTGTTCAGCGCGTCCAGGAAGGCCGATGTTTCTTCCGAGTTCGTGCGATCACCGTTGTCGTCGGCGGCGGCGGCCGGGACTTGTCCGTCCGCGATGGCCTGGGCCACGCGGCGGACTTCCTCCAGAGTGCCCATGTCCATCGGATCGCGCGGCACGGTGCCGTCCAGTCGGTGCTGTGCCTGCAGGTGCTTTAGCAGGTTCGTAGCCTCGGACATCAGAGCAAGCTCGTTGCCCATGTTGTCCGCAATGATGTCGTCGGCCTCGGCCTCGGCCACGGCCTCTTCCTCGTCGGCGGGGGGGTCAACAATAACAAGATCGGCAAAGTGGGGGGTAAGCTGCGCTGCCGTTAGTCTTTGAAGATCCTTGTACATCCGGTCGAGGTTGCGCCTGGCAAGCACATTTGCGTGCAGCCGGGCACCCTTCTCGCTCGAGATAATGCCCTCGGCGTCTCTGATCCGGAGGAATGCCACCGGCGTAACAGCCAGCTTTGGTGTCACGGTAGGGAATAACACTTGGTGCCCCACTCTCCGGTCAATGTAGGACCGCAGGGCCACGTAGGCCCGGTTTCCAGTACCTCAACAGAAATATAAGAGAATCTGTGTAGTACCTTCCGGTGCTGGTTTGAACCAGGCGCCCCCTGTCGTATGGTCGTTCCCTGTGCCGTCCGTGGTAAATCGGAGAAGGGTGTAGCAGGCGGCCAGCGCCAGCCCCGTGTTGTTGTCCCGGTCGTCCTCCTCGTTGCCGTCAAAGAGGGACTGCGGCATGGCGATGGCCACGCCAGCCTCGACGTGTCCCATAGCTGTCTGGACCCGCTGGTTCGTCCGCATCGACGACAGCATTTCCAGGAACATTTTCCGCGATGCCGTCCTGCCTGTGGTCGTGTTGGGCCAGCCATCTCGACGCCGCAGGCCGTACGGCCGAATCAGATCCGCACACTCGGTGTCCATCCAGGTGATGAAGCCCCGCGTCGATGCGTGTCCGAAATAGGCTGCCGCCTTGGCGGCGTTCTCAAACTTGCCTTCCCATGGCTCGATGCAATCAAAGTGTCGCGAGAGTGGGAGGGTCCGGTGCTGCTTCGTCAGTTCATCGGCCTTGCTGTCGTTCAATTCATTGTCAGCTTGTAGGGACTCTGCGTGCGGCCATGGCCGCGTGTGCCAAGGCGGCGCCGGGTGTCCACTCTCGGTCAGCACGTTCGCCCAGTTGTAGTCGTTGCCCTGCTTGACGGTCCTGCCGTCGGGGCCGTTGATCGACAACACTGCATCTTCTGGCGGCGTGTACTTGTCTGCCGCCGCCCGGGATCGCCCAGTCGTGCGTGCCGATGGGTTCACGACCTTGGGTGCTCTGCGAGGGGCCATTTTGTCTTGTCTTGTCTGTTGCTGGTCGGTCGGTTGATGCTTGGATGCGAGTTTGTCAATGCTTGGATGCTTGGATGCGAAAAAAAATGCAGAATTGGTGAATTGGTGGTGAATGTTGGATAATAGTAGTGGTCTGGAGAAGAGGGAGGGCAAGAGGAATCGAGTGACGAGGGGAGTGGGAGAACCGCCTTAAATGGTATTTGGCAAGAAGCTTTTCATTCACTGCAAAAGAGTCTGGGTAGGCCGTTGGCCTGTTTAAACAAGCGATTCGGACCGGATGTGAACAAAGAACTCGCTTGGTATTTTAGGTTCTCGTCTCGTTCACTTACTGCTTGTTCCTTTCTTCTCCTCTTTGAATTTCATTCACTGTGAA